TTTTAAAAAAGAAGTGGTGTGTGTGTGTGTGTGTGTGTGTGTGTGAGAATGTGTGTATGTACATATGTGTATCTGTGTGTGAGTTAAATTGAGGACGAAGGGGGGGGGGAGGAGTATGTGCATATAAGACTGATCTCTCTGACAGTCCACAAGTATGAGACAGTGTGCGTGAATTATAAAAACCAAAAATCTTTCCCATGTCGCTATCGCGTCACAACAGCAGTTTTAACTGAGCCAGACTCCATCCAATAAGAAGAAACTAACAAACAAAACAGAATCAGGCTTCATGGGTTACGTCATGGCAATTTTTAAAGTAGTCTGCACCTGATATTTCCGCAACAACACACTCGCAACTGCACTACACAACATGCACTGTGGTTCAAAATCACGCAGTGTGGTAGTGCCCACGTGTCAATATCTTAGGTACACACACGCGAGCGTTCACAAGACGGGATACAAACATCTCACAGAATTTATGCAAGTTCACAAGACGGGATACATACATCTCACAGAATTTATGCAAGTTCACAAGACGGGATACATACATCTCACAGAATTTATGCAAGTTCACAAGACGGGATACATACATGTCACAGAATTTATGCAAGTTCACAAGACGGGATACATACATGTCACAGTATTTATGCAAGTTCACAAGACGGGATACATACATGTCACAGTATTTATGCAAGTTCACATGACGAGATACATACATCTGACAGTATGTAAGCAAGTTTACAAGGCGGGATACATACAAAGATCTCACAGTATTTATGCAAGTTCACAAGACGGGATACATACATCTCACAGTATTTATGCAAGTTCACAAGACGAGAAACAAAGATCTCACAGTATTTTTATGCAAGTTCACATGATGGGATACAAAGATATCACAGAATTTATGCAAGTTCACATGATGGGATACAAAGATCTCACAGAATTTATGCAAGTTCACATGATGGGATACAAAGATCTCACAGAATTTATGCAAGTTCACATGATGGGATACAAAGATCTCACAGAATTAACGCAAGTTCATAAGACGGGATACATACATCTCACAGCATTTATGCAAGTTCACAAGGCGAGAAACTAACATCTGACAGTATTTATGCAAGTTCACAAGACATTACACAAATATCTCACAGTATTTATGCAAGTTCACAAGACATTACACAAATATCTCACAGTATTTATGCAAGTTCACAAGACATTACACAAATATCTCACAGTATTTATGCAAGTTCACAAGACATTACACAAATATCTCACAGTATTTATGCAAGTTCACAAAGTTGATGTCCCACTCTAAACGCGCATCAGCCGGATTAGGTCACACACTCATTTGGTCTCAAATTATGTTATTCGCAACTGCATTTAATATGTCTGGTGACTTCATAATGTGTTAAACAATAAGTCTACTCTACACCAAATCTTGAGCAATTCTGTAAATAATTTTTTAAAAGAAATAAAGGAAAAGAGGAGGAGAGGTCTTTATATTTTTAAATCTCTAAAAATGACAGTTCACACACATACACGGTAAGAGTGGGGCACCAACCACAAAAAAGATCAACCTAAGAATATAATACTATGATAGATCTATGTACATCTATGTACTGTAGACATGTGTGCAGCTGTTTGCAACCTGCCAGTCTTGAGTCAGATGTCCCTCTTCATGCAGTGTTGTGTACGTTATATTATGATAATATTATATGCCATCGTATTTACAGAGAAAGTTCTTAAATTAACCATAAATAATCAGTTTGGTTTTATTATAGAAAAGGTCCAAATCCAGTTACACGTCCGATTTCATGTCTTTGCCATGTATTTTTGCTTCCTGATTTAGGAAATGTAACTTAAAACTTTGGCAAATCTATGGTTTATTTAGATATCAAGGTTTGACGTTGCACTATTTGCGTTAGAGATCTCGTGCAAGCTGACATTTTCCTTCCCCAATAATACTGCGCATGCGCACCCCATAAAGTCGCGCAAAAAGGGGGGGGGGGGGCAGATCCCTGCTGCATTTACAAAAATAATGGTTTGCGACAGTTTTTGGTGCCAAAATCGTTCTCGGCACATTTAAAAACGGTGTATTAGTGCCGAAAAATTGTACAAAATGGGTATGGACCTTTTCTACAAATGTACCACATTATGTTTTTTCCATATCACATCCAATGTTGCCGTTCACTTTTTCCTGTTAGACTTGCGGGGTGGGGGTTCCTGTTTTTTCGTGCCCCTGCCCATAAGTTTGCCGGCCGGGCTCGGTGACTTTTGACCTGTGCGCACTCGTTTCTTCCTCTGGCTGTCGGGAATTTCCGCTACGTGGATCCGGAAGTTGGGGAAGAGCTCTGCGTATCTGCAACAGAATATAAACAACAATCTTATATTATATCAAAGAGTCTACATAACAAGAGGGGCCACTTCTCTCTTTGAGCCAATTAAAAAAGTGTCCTCAAAATTCGGTGGTGCCCTCTTCACAAAAGCGCACCTTTAGCGAACAGAGTTATCCTACTTGAGTTTAAAAAATCAAAGTGAAACTAGCAAGTTTTTGAATGAATTTCGGAAGAACGCTTTTTTTTAATGGTTACGCTGACAAAAAAAACTCTTCCGGAGGAAAGGGTGATGGTTTTCTTCGTTTAATTTGACTTTAGAATGAAAGGCGAGAGGTCATTAAAATTTTAAAAAGCCCTAAAACTCCGCACTGAACGAACCCGAACTGCTGATGAACAGTAGTCGATCTGCGCATGCAAGGAGGTGCTATTCCTATTCTTCTTCTGGAAAAACGAAAGAGCTTCAAAACAGACTGCAGCACCATCTGAAGCAAAGAGCGCACTTCCTGCGGACACTTTTTTGGCTGAGTGGCCCATCTTGTTATTTACTATCTTTGATTATATTTAACCATTTTCTTATCTGTTAATATGTTTCGAATTTGTCTAGGGTTACAATAATAATAATAATAATAATAATAATAATAATAATAGATAGATAGATAGATAGATAGATAGATAGATAGATAGATAGATAGATAGATAGCGCAAATTCCCGCTCAACAGCAAGCTCTATGCGCTTCACACTCTATACTATTACCCCAGCAGACCTGAGAGCATTCTGAGAGAAACTCAACTTCCTGGGAAGCATACGGTGCAAGCAGCCATTTATAGGCGCTAAAACACAAACTTATTGACAATATCTTTCGCTGTCTATGGCCGGGAACCCATTTCCACCTGGATTAAGTGAAGAAAATCCGTGCAAAGTGCCTTTCCCAAGGACACAACGTCGGGCCCGCGGCTCGAACCCCCGACCCCGCAACCACACGATTACGAGTCCGGTTACAGATAGACTGAACAAGAGAGAAAAGAGCAATCTCTAAAACTGAAAAAAAGTCCTCAACGTAAGATGGGAAAAGCATCATACAAAAACAAAAGATACAAACGAAAAAGTCATTAAGTCAATGTATAACACGATCATAACTGTCAGTTTGTCTGTCCATATTATACAATAATCATTCACAAAATGTACGTTTTCTTATCTTTGAGATTCAACTACAAACCTTTCTAGAAGAGGAATGTACGTGTATTGGGTTGTTGAGGACAATGGCGATGACCCATCTTCATTTTGTAATTCCTGGGGACAAAATTTAGAGCATGCAGTGAGTCGGGGCATTGTCAAAAGCAAATGAAATGGAATAGGCATATAAATGGTTCAGAATACACTGTGCAGCGCAACAAAACAAAGTCATGAGTTTTCTCAAACTTCTAACTACCTTTGGAAGAAACGGCTTGTCCAGGAATATCCCAAACCCTCTTGTTTGTGTTTGTTACTCTCTCGTAACACCTGTAATCTTTGGCACTTTCACAAAAATAATGACCCAATTGCGTGGTAAGTGCCGTAAAACGCTTTCTGAAACTAAACTAAAACACACAAAAAATCAAAGTTTTGAGCTTACTACGCCTAAATAGTTGGTAGAATGATTGCTGGTGAGGTGGTTTTTTGTTGCATTTTTTGAGGGGGGGGGGTGTAAGAGTTTTACGGCACTTGCAACACAATAAGGTCATATAAGTGCCGAAGATTAGAGGTGTTACAAGAGAGTAACAAACATAAAAAAGGAGGACAGATCAGGGCGATAGATGGGTTTTTTTTTTTAATAGTAGTGGTTTTACGGCGCTCTCAACTGCATAATTAGGTCATATGAGCGCCAAGGGGTGGGTGTCAACAGAGAAGTTTTTACAGGGAATCGAACTTACTCTGCTCACCTCTCTAGCTTCAACAGCACAAGGTCTGCTTCGACTATCAAGGCACCCCGGAAATAGCAGGTCACAAGAGAGTGACAAACATACAAAAGAAGTAGATGAAAATGACAATAGTGAGGATTAGGAAAGAAAAAGCAGCAGTTCCTTGTTGTAGATCAGGCACAGTTACGAGCGTGACA